GCTTCAAGTCTCCAGGTCGCTGTATCACGGTCCGAGATGCCGTCTCACGGTCCTCTTGGGGACTTCTCTGGGCGTCTGGAAGCGCTCGAGCCCGGCGGCCCTGGTGATGCAACCCCGTTTCCCTCAAGTGCGAGACTTAGGTTCGAGGAACAATTAATTCAGATTTTCCGACGGTGGGACCACACATGAGAATATATTTGGCTTGCCCCTCGCCCTTTTCCCCTTCGCCCTGACAGAGGCCCTCCTCCCGCCCTCTGATGTGCCTCCTCCTCCTCTTTCACCTCGTCCTCCTCTTCCTCCTCCGTCCTGGAGAAACTTATTATCATGTTCCTCCTCCCCGCTCCTGTTCCTGTTCCTGCCCCTGCTCCTCCTCGTCCCCCACCTGCTCCTCCATTTCTCTCTCTCTCTCTCTATCGTTCTCTCTCTCTCTCTCTATCTCTCTCTCTCCTTATCCCCATCTCGACTCGTTTCCTCCTGCACCTCAGCTTCATCGTGGTCGGGGCACGCAAATCGATACTCTTCGGCGCCGTCGCTCAGGCGGGAGGCAGCGCGAAGCCCAGCTCAGCCGCCAGCTGCTCCGCATCTGCTCGAAATCTGGATCGTCCGAACGTAAATCACGTTAGTGGCCCCGCGCGCAGGGCGGGTTTTGATGAGGGAACATGACACACTGGATGAGGACGGGTTGCTCCCCCCCCAGCCTGGACGCAAGAGTTTCCCCCTGCGCCCGGTTCGGCCTCCGATCGGTTACTGCCCGGACGCAAGCGTCTACCCCATCGCCCGATTCGGTCGCGGACGGGTTACCACCCGCGGATGGGACACAAGGGTGTCCCCATGCGACTGGCCGTCGCCGACCGTCGCGGCCGTCCTCAGGATTCCTGTTGCTCTCTATTCGTCATCCTCCCCCTCAGATGTCTCGAAGAAGTGGTCCTTAAGGGCCCGTGACATGCCAAGCTTTTGATGCTACCGACTCGCCGAAACATGGGTTTTCTGCCGCTGGAAAGCTTTTCCAGTAACGCACCCTTGGAATGCTCAAGTTCTCCGATGACCCACTTCGGATGCCGCCGCGGATTCGATCATGAAGTGTGCGGGCCCCATCCATAGAGAGGGGGCTCCCACTTCAGACTTCCTCCAGATTGAGCCCTGAAGACCGGTCCCCATAAAGGAGGGGCTCCCGCTTGAGACTTCCTCCATATTCATTCAGCCAATGATGACGATTACAAAATTAAAATGGCCCCGCTCGGATTAGCAACATGACCTGCGGGCGCCGTAGGGAGGGGGCTCCCGCTTGAGACTTCCTCTCTACGGTCTCACAGAGGAGGCCCTCGCTTGAGACATCCGCATGATGAGCCCTCTTGGGGTGCTCAAATGCTATGACTGGAAACGTATGCCGATGACCCGGTCGGATTAATAACATGACCTGCGGGACACAAAGGAACGGTACTACCGCTTGAGAATATCTCGCAAGTCCGTCAACGACGAAGAAACCGCTTGAGATATCCTCGCGGGTTGCCCCCTGTGGGAGCTCTAGTGCTACGCCTGGTAGAATATGCCGATGACCCGCTCGGATTACTAACAAGAAGTTCGGACCTCATCCCATAACCGCCTACCTGTGATATATATATATATATATAAAGTTCGGGGTCTGGGGGGATACTAAACGATTTTCCTGCGGAGGAAGATGATGGTGATGATGATGATCATGATGAAATAATCCTGGGCGCTCGTGTAACCAGATCCTCACACAAAACTCTCCTTGGTGCCCCATGGCCGTGCCGCACGTTCGTGACTTGGGAAAGCTGAAATGGTGAGAATCCCATAGCCCTGCCACACGCTCGTGACTTGCGAAAGCTCAAACGGTGAGACCTCCATTGCCATGCTCAACGTGTTTGCTGATGTTGCTAGTCAACATAAGAAGATAACAATTTCGATTCGCAACTTCCCCCGCGATATTCAAGTTCGGCCTCGCCGCCCTTCGCAACAATCAAATCCGGTTGACCCGGCGGTAGCAACCACTCAGGTGGCAAAAGGGGATATACGTTACTAGAACCACGCGCGCGCTTCGCGCGCGCTTTGGTTCTAGCTAGGATCGTTCTCGCTGGGAGTTTGACGTAGCTTCTCGGGAGCCTCTGAACCTGTCGGGGGCCTCCTGGAAGCAGGTTCGAAGCATTTTGGGGGCCGATTTGGGGCTTCTCGGGGCCTCCTTTGGGCCTCTTGGGGGTCTCCTGGGGCCTCTTGAGGGGCCTCCTTGGGGCCTCCTGGCGGCCTCTTGGGGCGGAAGGCTCGAGCTTGCGGTTCGTGGTCCCCCTCTGGGCCCCCTCTTGGGCCCGTCTTGGGGCCCTCTTGGGCCATCTTGGGCGCCTCTTGGGCCGTCTTGGGGCCCTCTTGGGCTGTCCTGGGGCCCTCTTGGAAGCTTCTTGGGCCGTCTTGGGGCGGTCTTGGGCGCCTCTTGGGCCGTCCTGTAACGTCGGAAAGCCCAAAAGACAACTTTGTTGAAAATGTACGTTTTACGAAGGGAATGGGCCAATTTTGCGTCTAGGGGCCCTCTTGGGACGCATGTTGGAGGCTTCTTGGGGCCTCTTGGGGGCGTCCTTGGACGTCTGGGGTCTCCTGGGGCCTCTTGAGGGGCCTCCTGGGGGCCTCCTGGCGGCCTCTTGGGGCGGAAGGCTCGAGCTTGCGGTTCGTGGTCCCCCTCTGGGCCCCCTCTTGGGCCCGTCTTGGGGCCCTCTTGGGCCATCTTGGGCGCCTCTTGGGCCGTCTTGGGGCCCTCTTGGGCTGTCCTGGGGCCCTCTTGGAAGCTTCTTGGGCCGTCTTGGGGCGGTCTTGGGCGCCTCTTGGGCCGTCCTGTAACGTCGGAAAGCCCAAAAGGCGACTTTGTGAAAATGTACGTTTTACGAAAGGGAATGGGCCAATTTTTGCGTCTAGGGGCCCTCTTGGGACGCATGTTGGAGGCTTCTTGGGGCCTCTTGGGGGCGTCCTTGGACGTCTGGGGTCTCCTGGGGCCTCTTGAGGGGCCTCCTGGGGGCCTCCTGGCGGCCTCTTGGGGCGGAAGGCTCGAGCTTGCGGTTCGTGGTCCCCCTCTGGGCCCCCTCTTGGGCCCGTCTTGGGGCCCTCTTGGGCCATCTTGGGCGCCTCTTGGGCCGTCTTGGGGCCCTCTTGGGCTGTCCTGGGGCCCTCTTGGAAGCTTCTTGGGCCGTCTTGGGGCGGTCTTGGGCGCCTCTTGGGCCGTCCTGTAACGTCGGAAAGCCCAAAAGACAACTTTGTTGAAAATGCACGTTTTACGAAGGGAATGGGCCAGTTTTTGCGTCTAGGGGCCCTCTTGGGACGCATGTTGGAGGCTTCTTGGGGCCTCTTGGGGGCGTCCTTGGATGTCTGGAGGCCATCTTCAGCATCTCGGAGCCCTCTTGGAGGCCTCTTGGAAGTTTCTTGGGCCGTCTTGGGCGCTCCTGGGGCCGTCTTGTCTGACCGGGGAGGCCTCCGGCAAGCCCCGACGAGCCTCCGGGTCTCCGGGGCGCACATTATTGGTCGATGTCCGGCCCCGGGCCCCCGGACCCGGTGCGCCGTTATATGTATACTACCCGGGGTTAGGGGTTAGGGAGGGGGCTTCCGCCTGATACTTCCACGCGGTTCACTCACAGTCGAAGCCCCCGATCGAGGCTTCCTCACGGTTTTCCCCCTTAGGGTGCTCAAGCGCTATGCCTGATAGAGTGTGCCGATGACCCGCTCGGATTAGTATCGTGACCTGCAGGCCCCACAGGGAGGCGGCTCCCGCTTGAGACGTTCTCTCTATTCACTCACACACTAGGCATGCACTTGAGTGGTCATCAAGAAGAGTGTGTGTGTGTGTGCGTGTGTGTGAGAAACAGCGACTGTGAAAACATGATGTGGTGATGATCGGTGATGGTGCGGTGATAAGGACGATGATGGTGCTGGTGCGTGTGAGAGCATGGTGTAGAGATGATGTGTGTGAGAGCATGGTTTGTGTGCGATGGTGATGGTGGTAGTCATGATGATGACGGCATTGATGGTTATGGGGATACTGCTGACTCTGATGATCAGTGGGTGTGAGTGTGGATGATAAGGGCTAGGATGGTGATGACAATACCGCGGTGTTTATGATGACGATGACAATGACGATGACGATGATACGAACAATGTTGATGATGATGTTGCTGCTGATGATGATGCTAACGAGTAAAATGATGATTATGCTGATGATGAAGATGCAGATCATCATCATCATCATGATGACGATGATGACAATGATGATGATGCGGAGGATGATGATGGTGGTGATGATGATGGTAATGGTAATGTTGATGGTGAGAGAAAGAGGGGGAGGAAAGATCCGGCGCGGGGGGTGCTACATAAAATAAGAGCCACACTTTGGACGTGGGAAAACGCGGTTGGAGGTCTGCGCGGATTTCTTGGATCGGCGCTAAAGCCCCCCCCAGCCGATTCAAGAAATCAGCGCGGACCTCCCAAAAATTCTGTTTATGGTGTGTCATGCTCCTCGATTACCCTTACCTGCAATGGCGGGCCCCAGGTACGTCCAACGAGTGGCCTGCAATAGGAGAATAAAAACGGCTCAATCATATCAACTTGCCAAGGTCCGCATGGAGTTCTCAGGCTGGCGTTGGACCCACGAAATCAGAGCGGCCTGTCGAAATCTACGCCCGGCAGGGGCTTCCAGGAAGCCTGGAGGGCCCAAGGGACCTTCTACAGGGGCACCCAGCCGGAGATCCAGGGAGATCCAGTTTTTATTTCGGGGGAGGAGAAGGGCGAAGATCCAAGCACAGGTGGCGTCCAGGTCATGAGGCCCAGGGGACGCGCCAGAGGCGCTGCCCGGGCGGGGTACAGCGACGATCCACGCAATCAGCAAGGACCCACCGAACGTGTACATGCTCCTGTGTCGACCTTTAGATCTTTGAGGTATGCACTTCCGACAAATGGCATGCGGCCGCACTGCATCACCAGGCGCGCGCGGGCACAGCGCGCGAGGCCTCCTTCAGGAGAGGGTCCCTCTGCAGCCTGCGCAGCAATATGCCAACCTCGCAAGTGATGGCGGCAAGCCCATCCGGCCCGTGCTCGGGACTCCACCGCATCCTCCGTTTCACCCCCTGCCTCTTCCTCTTTTTTTTTTTCTCGCTCTCTCTCTCTCTCCTTCTCTCTCTCTCTCTATACGAGTGGCACGTGCGTGCCCGAGAGCATACAAAAAGAACTGCAGCATACCATCCCAGAACATAGACAAAAAGAGGAATATGAAGTCGGATCCGAGGAGGAGGAAGAAGATGGAGATGCAGAGGAAAGCGGAGAGGAGGATAACGAGGATCTCCTGGGGGCTGTTGGGAAGGAGGTGCACAAGCGGGATCGAAGTCGAACGCGAGTAGGGTTGCAACACCTTGCGATGTTTATGGCGCAGGAGGGTGTTCCTCACCATGCGAATGCAGCTGAAAAGAAGCTCCAAAACCAATGTGCGGAGGATGTCTCAAACGAGCCTGCAAGTTTGAAGAAGATGGAGGCAACTTTGGAGACGTCGGGATTCAAGTGTTGGGGTGTTGGGGGATGTCTCTCGCAAAACGGCTGTTGCTTCTTGAAGCGGCATCCAAATTCATGAACATCGATCCTGTCATTGAAATGTGTACTGTAATTTGGCGCAAATCCGGGTGTACATGTGTGTGTGTGTTTGTGCGTGCGCGTGTTCGTGCGCGAGATCGTGTGCGTGTGCGTGCGCGCGCGTGCGCGTGCGCGTGCGCGCGCGCGGGTGGGTCGGTGGGCCGGTGGGTGGGTGGGTGGGTGGGTGGTGTGGTGTGTGTGTGGTGTGTGGTGCGTGGTGTGCGGTGTGTGGTGTGTGGTGTGTGGTGTGTGGTGTGCGGTGTGTGGTGTGTGGGGTCTGGGTTGTGGGGTGTGGGTTGTGGGGTGTGGGGTGTGGTGTGTGGTGTGTGGTGTGTGGTGTGTGGTGTGTGGGGTGTGGGGTGTGGTGTGTGGTGTGTGGTGTGCGGTGTGCGGTGTGTGGTGTGTGGGGTGTGGGGTGTGGTGTGTGGTGTGTGGTGTGTAGTGTGTGGTGTGTGGTGTGTGGTGTGTGGTGTGTGGTGTGTGTGTGTCTGCGTGTGTGTGTGTGTATGTTTGGACCGTGACGTCGCGGTCTGCATTACGGCTGCAATCGATTTTAAGAATGTTGAGGATATTCCAAGCTAAACAGCCAAAATAAATCGCGAGCAGGAACTTCAATTCATCGCCTCTGAGCTCTACTCCCTCAGAGGACTCGCGTATGACAATCTGCACATACGTATCATTATCTCTCAATATCTCTCTCTCTCTCTATCTCTCTCGTCCCGCCTCACCGCCAACCTACCTGACGCAACGACTACTACAATTACGCTCGCTACCCTGCCAAGCGTCACCCGCCGCTACTCTTGCAGCTTGCCAGGCAGAACTGCCGCAAACGCTGCCGCCGCCGCCGCGGGTGCCGATGCCCCTGTTGGGTGCATAACCACCGCCCTTTCCCGTTCGGTGGGCATGGTTCTACTGCGCACTGCAAGTCCTCGCCAATACCGCAAGGCACGAAGAGGAGAGTGCTCACGTCCGCAGTCTCAGTCCTCAAGAGTGAGCGCCTCAAATTCACGTTCAAGGGCCCAGAGGCTCAAGTCCGAAAACTGATCGGAGTTGCCCATGGCCCTTGTTCCAGTCGTGTTCCGGGCCTGGAGGCCCAAGTGCTATGCCGCGACGCGCGAAGAGCAGTGACCTTCGCGCCCCTGGTCAAGGGGCCCAGGGACATACACACAAATAAACACAAGTCCCGAGATTCCCCATATGTTTCCATATTTCCTGGGTTTTCGTCTTCCCCCACACCTCCCAAATCTTCACATCGGAATGGGGGGGGTTCTGCTCACGCGAACCCATTTCAAGTCGTGCGCGCGTTGGCTGCTTCGGGGCAGGCGAACGACGTCGCGTCTCTCTTCCTCTTCTCGTTTATCTTGGTCTGCTTCTTCTTCTTGTTTTCCTTCGTCTGCTTCAATTATTATTATTCTTCTTATTCTTATCATTATTCTTATTATCATTATTCTTATTATTATTATTCTTCTTATGTTTCTGCATCTTCTTCTTATTATTCTGCATCTTCTTCTTCTTCCTCTTTCCAGCTCTGGGGGGAGGCCCGGCGAGGCCCGGCCTGGGCAGCCCACGCGCACGTGTGGGTGCTAAGGGGGAAGGGGCGGGGGGGCCCCACCGCGGGGGGCCCGCGGCGTCGCGGGGGCCCGTCGCCATGGGGCCCACGGGTGGCGCCGGTCGCGCGGGAGCCCGGGGGAGGGGGGGACGGGGGGCCCGTCGCGGGGGGCCCGCGGCGTCGTGGGGGCCCGTCGCCACGGCGCCGAAGGGTACTCCAGTTTTCGTGATAAAAGGGAGGGGGTCTGGACCCTCCCAGACAAGCCATTTCAGACCTCCCCCGTGGGAGAACCCTACAAAACATCGTCCCCAGACCCCCCAGGCCCTCCAAGATAGCCTGGAAGAGACCCCCCCCCGAAATGAGACCCCCCTCCCTTTATTACGAAATCTGGAGTAGCGTTGGTCTTGGCTTTGCGGAAGAGCAGTGTTGAATCATCCAGATCGGCGCCTGCGGCAGGCTCCTTCACTGCATGTCCCGTGCAACTTTCTCCGGTGACCCGTCTGGGGGGCCCGCGGCGTCGTAGGTGCCCGTCGCCACGGGGCCCACGGGTGGCGCCGGCAGTGGTTGCCCAGAGATACAGCAACGCTGAAAATCAAAAGAATCGGAGGCTGCGGCGGGCTTTTTCGTTGAATGCTTCGTTTCACTTGTCTGAGTACTCCGTCCTGGGGGGCCCGCGGCGTCGTAGGGCTCAATTGGTGGCGCCAGTCTTGGCTGCGCACACATGCATGCGCAGAATTGAAGAAACGGGGACAGCGGCGGGCTTCTTCCTATGCGGGAGTGGCAGAACTCCGTCCAGTTAGGCGCTGTTCCACTCTGTCAACTCTGTCCCGTCAGTCCGCCTCTGTTCAACTCTGAACTGTCCAACTCTGTCCAGTCAGCCTTACTCTGTTCAACTCTGAACTGTCCAACTCGGCTGCACGCAAGAGTGACCCTGGGTGAGAGTGACCTTTGGTGCGCGGCTGTTTGGGGGCCGCGGGTGGACCAAACCTGGGCGCGCAAGCCGCTGTTCCTGCTCCGTTTTGAGCCATCTGGGGACCCACCTGTGCCCGCACCGAAGGTCACTCCGGCGAACGGTCACTCTTACGTCTAGTCGTCCAACTCTGTCCAGTCAGTCCACCTGTCACTGACTGCTCCGCCCCGCTCTGTCCAGTCGGGCACGACCAGGGAGGCCTGCGGCGTCGTGGGGGGGCCTGGAGGTGCCCAGGCCCGCCGCCGCGGGGCCCACGGTCGGCGCCAGTCCTGGCTGCACATGAGGTGCCATCCGAAGACAAGAGTCGGCGCCCGCGGCGGGTTCGTGGTCCCCACGTGCGTCGCCTGCGGCGGGGTTGTGCTTTTATAAGGCCTTCTGGATCACAATGTTCGTATCGGTTTGCCTGTTGCTCGGCCGTCCCGACTGGCGACCGCCGTCCGTTGCTTCGTGGGGCATTGGGCACCTCGGAGGCCATGGCCCCCCGGGACACTCTAGCCAGATTCGACTTTCACCTGGCTGCGCACGAGAGAGGCTTGGGCTCTAACTTGATGCCCGTTATTTGACCAACTTGAGGCTCGCAGACGACATTCTCTTGCTTGGAACTAGCAGGGCGCAAGTGAAACGAATGTTGTCGGACTTGAACGAGAGGGCGTGGACAGTCGGCTTGCAGCCCCACTTGGGCAAGACGAAGATATTGTCCAATGAGAGTGACCGCCGTGGAGTCTTGCGACAGAAAGACGTCGAAATTGAAGACGGGCCAGTCGAAGTCTTGGCGTTGAACGACAGCACAAACGTATTTGGGGAGGCAATTGACGTTCAGTAAATACCGTGATGCAGAACTCGACCACAAGATCACTCAACCACAAGATCTCCAAGGGGTTGGCTGCTTTCGGTAAGTTCAAATCCACAGTGTGTATCGGCATGATCTGCTACATTCCAGATTCAGGCTGTTTGACGCTGCCGTGTCTTCTACGGTGCTGGATGGAAGCGGTGCCTGGACGCTCACTGCAGCGCGAGAACAGAAGCTCAACGCCGCAATGCGAAAAATGCTTCGAAACATAGTGGGCGTACGGCGTCTGGAGCACGAGTCTTACGTTGACTGTATTATGAGAGCTACTCGACGGGCAGGGAAAGAATACTCGAAATCTGGTTTGCCCACGTGGCTACAGTCGCAGAGTGAGAGGAAGAGCAAGCTACGCCATAAGCTACAATCGTACAATGACCACAGATGGGGGTAGGTTGCGCTACGATGGGGCTCCTTCAGGGAGCAGATCTGTTGAAGGCCATGAAGAAGATGGACTGATAAAGTGAGAACGAGAGAGCGTGGTGGTGTGCGAGACTGCGAGCAGGCGCTTGCGAGACTGCGAGAAGGCGGGTTCAAGGATGCGAGGAGGCGCGTGCGAGAACGCGAGACGTCCCGCGGCAGCCCGCACGGAGCGCGCCTCGGCGCACGCCGCTCCAGTTCCAGCTCCGGTCCCTGGCTGCGCAGGCACTTTGGCAGCCACGATGCCCCCTTCTCCTTCTCCGCACCCCTCTCCTGGAGGGGGCCTCGGGAGTTCGCGCGACGATGCTTGTAGCCGCACTGTCCTGGGCCCAACTTGGCGATTGGGATTCGTTCTCCCTTGTCCGTTGTGGAAGATGGCATCTATCCGTGCTCTCCTTTGTTTTCTTGTGACTCAGCGCCAGGGCACCGCGCGCCATGTTCCAGTTCACAGCGCTTCGCGTCGAGACCACCGCAGCCCCTCACTCCTATCCGCACTTACGGGGGTATGGCATTGTCATGGGGATCGACGAGTATTTGCGGCTGCGTGTGTTTTCCCTCCTGATGTAAATGACCCAGATGTTCCCATCCCTCGCGCCCTGCTCGTCGCCATCCTCTCTTCCCCTGCGTCCCCCCACCCCTCGCCCCCAGTATGAGGACACGGCCGTGCAGAACGCCATGGTGACCAGACGCCCCAGGACGTGTCCTGGGAGCTCCTGTGACCAGACTCGGCAAAAAAAACATGCCTCCGTGCTCCCATCCCTCGCGTCCTGCTCGCCGCCATCCTCCCCTCCCCTCCTTTCCCCCGCCCCCCTCCCCCTCCACCCGTGCCTTCTGGCAACAGCGTTGGAGTGGCCGGAAATAATCGACCCGGGAACCCGGAAAGGGATATAGAAATGTGAAGCATGAAAATTGAGCACGATACCGAATTTGAGCGACGGACAATTGCAATGCTGAATGTAGCGATAGTGATGTACAAAGCCACGGCCTGTGCTGTAACAGAACCGGAACCAGAAAAACAACGGTGACGGAACCGGCAACAAAAACAGCGACAGAACCGGCAAACAAACGGCAAAACGGAACCACTGAAAAAACGGCGCTGTCGTTTCAAGGGCCGACTAAGGAGCTGCTGAACGCATAACTCAGATCTGGCCGCAGTCGAAACGCGCGGGGCGCTCGACCAGCTCGAGCTCAAGATCCAATGCAGTTCGGGAGCGCGACGGACCGAAAGGGGGCGACTCTGAACACTTCTGTGCTCTGTTGCGTTGCGGATCAGATCTTCCCTGGCATCCGAATCCTGACAGAACTGAGCTGGGTCTCAAGCTAGAGCTGCCTGGGCGCATTGCTCGCCCAAAGCTGATTGCAGTCGAGACCTCAAAGGATTATGTTTCGCAACACGGCGAGCGAAATGATACGAGCGAGTCCAAACCGAGGCGACATGCATCGAGAAAAGGCGGGCCGAAACGCCGATGACAACAACGACGGCGGACCGCGACGACCGCCACCGCGTTTCCAGCTCGGGACCACCATGTTACATACCCGTCTTGGAGTGGCCTGGACACGTGAAAACACATGATTCCAGCTCGGGGCCAACCAGTGGGAAATCTGGAAAATCACTGGCCTCGGAAACTGTTTCAGGTTATAAGATATCTGGTGCCGGTGTATTGATTTGGTCTGACTCTTGTGCGTCCCCACGCTGGGGGGCGCCCAGACGACCACTTGTTAGATACTCCCCTTTGAGTGGCCCGCGCAATAAAAAACCATGGTTCAAGCTCGGGGCAACCATGTCAGATCCCCCTCTGGGTGGCCCGGACACGTGAAAACAACGTGGTTCAGCTCGGGGCCACCATGTTAGATACCCCTCTGGGTGACCTGGGCACGTGAAAACACATGGCTCCAGCCTCGAACCACCATGTTAGACACCCTTCTGGGTGGCCTGGCCTCGTGAAAACACTTAATTCCAGCAAGGGGCAAGAGGCAACCATCTTAGATACCCACCCCTGGGCGGCCTGGACGCGACAAAAAACACGTGGTTCCAGCTCGAGACCACCCTGGGTGGCCTGGGCACATCAAGATGTGGTTCCAACTCGGGACCACCATATTCGATATCCCACTGGGTGGCCTGGACAAGTGAAAGCACGTGGCTCCAGCTCGGGGCCACCAAGTTGGATACCCCTCTGGGTGGCCTGGACACCTGAAAGCACGTGGCTCGAGCTCGGTGCCACCATGCTCGATACCCCTCTGGGTGGCCTGGACACGTGAAAGCACGTGGCTCCAGCTCGGGGCCACCATGTTCGATACATCTGGGTGGCCTGGACACGTGAAAACACGTGGCTCCAGCAAGGGGCCACCATGTTAGATACATCTCTGGGTGGCCTTGTGAAAACACGTGGTTCCAGCTCTGGACCACCATGCTAGACCCCAGTGGGAAATTCCGAAAACCACCAGCCTAGGAAACTGTGTCAATGTATGCCCCCCATCTCGAGTAGAGGATCGACTACAGAATTGATTTGCCCCAGCATATATTCTTCTTGTTAAATTCACTGGCAATTCGTGGAACTTTCGCAGATCCACACATGGTTGACGTATTTTTGTTGAAGAGTCGACGTGAACATCAATTTTGGGGTAGATCCATTCTGTAGTCGATCCCCCAGTTCAACATCTGGCGTCGAAGCTTTGATCTTGTCTGGCTCTCGTGTGGGCCCCCACACGCTGGGGGCGCCCAAGACGACCACATGCCGTAGGTGCCCCCCTGTGGGTGGCCCGCACACGGGAAAAAGACACGTGGCTCCAGCTCGGGGCCACCATGTTAGCTACTCTGGATCGTTTAATAATCGCCCCCCCTTGGAGTGCCCCGATGGCGAGCGGGGGTGGTGCCAGGGGGCGGGTTGGCTGCGCTGCGTTTTCACGTTTGTCACCCCCTGGTTGACTAATTACGCAACCGAGGAACCCCACGTACTTATATTATGGCTGGAGTGATGATGGCTGAAATGAAGCATGTGAGAATGATGTTGGTGGCCGTTGCCCCGCCGATACCGTTGTGCCCTGGACGACCGTCACGGATAGCGGCCGCGGTGAGAGACCACCCCCCTGCGCACCCCCTCTGGTGTCGAGAAAAAAGCAGCGCCTGCCACGCTCTCCGACCCTGGCACGCATGGAGGCCGCACTGAGGGACCACACCCCTGCGCACCCCCTCTGGTGGCGACAAAGTCCTGCCACGCTGTGCGCTGAGGGACCACCCCCCGCGCACCCCCTCTGGTGGCGAGAAACAGCAACGCCTGCCACGCTTTCCGACCCTGGCACGCATAGGAGCCGCGCTGAGGGACCACTCTCTGCGCACCCCTCTGGCGTCGAGAAACAGCAACGCCTGCCACGCTGTCCGACCCTGGCACGCATGAGGGCGGCGCTGAGGGACCCCCCCCCCGCACCCCCTGGTGGCGACAAAGTGCCACGCCTGCCACCGTTTCCGACCCATGCACGCAGAGGGGCAGCGCTGAGGGACCACACCCGCGCACCCCCTCTGGTGTCGAGAAACAGCAACGCCTGCCACGCTGTCCGACCCTGGCACGCATAGGGGCCGCGCTGAGGGACCACTCCCCGCGCACCCCTTCTGGTGGCGACAAAGTGCCACGCCTGCCACGCTGTCTGACCCTGGCACGCATAGGGGCCGCGCTGAGGGACCACTCTCTGCGCTCCCCCTCTGGTGCGGAGAAAATGCCACATGTGCCACACTTTCCGACCCTGGCACGCATACAGACCGCACTGAGGGACCACTCTCTGCCTCTCTGGCGTAGAGAAAATGCAACGCCCGACACGCTTTCCGACCCTGGCACGCATGGAGCCAGCGCCGAGGGACCACCCCCTGCGCACCCCCTCCGGTGGCGACAAAGTGCCACGCCTGCCACGCTGTCCGACCCTGGCACGCATAGGGGCCGCGCTGAGGGACCACCCTCTGCGCACCCCCACTGGTGGCGACAAAAGGGCACGCCTGCCACATGTTCCGACCGTGGCACGCATAGAGGCCACGCTGAGGGACCACCCCCTGCGCCCCCCCCTCTGGTTTCGAGAAAGTACCGCGCCTCTTCTTGTCGCGCATGTGTTGCGTGGTGTGCGTGTCATGTGTATGATGCGTGTGCGGCTGTATGTTAGCGTGCGTCCCATGTGGATGATGCTTGTGCGGCCGCATCGGGACGTGTGTCTCATGTGTGGGTGCCCAGTATGCTGTGCATACGTCCTGAGTGTATGATGCAATAAACACGCCAAGCGTGCACTAGCGTTGTGTGGTGTGTGTTGTAGCGGCTGTATGTAGACGCGTGCCTCATGTACGTGCCGTGCATGTGTTGCGCGCGGGTGAAGGGAGAAAGGAAGAGGAGGAGGAGGGGATGGGAGGGAGACGCGGGTGCGACACGGCAGGGAAGAAAACCATAACCCCACGAAACATATGGGGAATAAGAAGTTCGGAGTACCCCTCTGGTTGGCCTGGGCAAGTGAAAACACGTGGCTCCAGCTCGGGGTCAACATGATAGACGCCCCTCTGGGTGGCCTGGGCACGTCAAACCACGCGGCTCCAGCTCGGGACCACCATCTTAAATGGCCGCCTGGGTAGCCTGGACATGTCAAACATGTGGTTCCATATGGGGGCAGCCATGATAGAGACCCCCCTGGGCAACCTGGGCACGTGAAAATGAGCATGTCTCAGGCGACAGCATTTCGCCTGAGATATGCTCTGAATTCTGGCCCCCAGAAGAGGAGCAATCGAGAGAACAAAGCAACCGTTTCGATCGAGACATCTTCAGCCAATTCTGCAAAACAAGCGCTTCGCTCGAGGCAGCCGCAACAAACCAAAAAAACTCACTTTGACGTGTTTTTGATGGATCGGAATTCTGAAAACAAGCGTTTCGCTCGGGACAGCCCCAGCAAACTGAATCCGCCGGCCCTTCGCGACCTCGTTAATCGCAGGAGAATTTCGCCGGCCCTGCGCAAGTCGAGGCCAGGGGTACAAGAGAACCCTGGGCCGGCGCCCTTTCCGGGAAAGAGTGTCGATCAGGCGAGCGGAGGGCAGATGCCTCCTGTCCATCTCGAGCTCTCGGCGAGCGTCTGCTAGAGGCCCTCCTGCGCTGTCACAACCTCCCCCCCTTCCTGCCGAGGGCACAGCCGTGCAGAACTCCATGGTGCCGCCGCGCAGCCCGCGGTTGGGCGGCGACCTCAGGGCGCCGCCACCGCCAACACACCGTCCGCCGGCCGCCGGCCGCCGACGGACGCCGGCGCGTCCGTGCAGCCCGGCGGGCCCAGGCGCGGAGCCGCGCCGCACAAATGCCACGAGCAAAAGCGCGCCTCGGTCGGCACGTCGCCCGAAGTCGCTTCCAAACGGGCCCCAGGGCCCGCGGGGAGCCCAAGGGGGGGGGCTACGAGCGAGCGCACCTCTCGATCGGCATGAAGCAGGGGGGTCCTGAGGGCCGTCCCCCAGGACCAGCTCGTCGCCCCGAGTCGTTCTCGAACCGTTCCGCGGCCAGTGGAGAGCCCGAGGGGGCCGAAAAAGGCGGAAAACCTCAGGACCTGGTTCCCTGATGAGCATCCTTTAACCGATCCCCATCCCCAGCGGCGTGGCCTGGACCCCACTGGCCGATTTACCCCCCTAAGATGGGGATGTAGGCCGTTCCCTTCGGATTTCGAGGGGTGTATCCCCAACTGGGGTGGTATAATCTGGTCAGGGGTCTCGAAAAGGATGGGGATGGGAATGGGGATCGGATAAAGGACACTGACCTAAGGACCCGTTGACTTCACGGCACCTCGAGCGAGAGGGTGGCGTGCGGAGGAAGGAGCCGAACTCCATACACCGACGCTTTTTTTCTGGCCCCGCACTGAAACTCGCACAGGAAAGCGGATCTCGGTGTATACGGGATCCTGGTGTATAATGGTTCGTTGTTTCCAACGGGAAAACGGGGAACATCGTATACACCACACCACTCCGACGTCGTCCCCGACCCTCAAAAAGTTCAGGGAATCAAGAACAGCCCGCCACTGGCACTGGTAATGTATCTGTTCCAGTTTCCGACCGCGGAGACCCGGGCCGCCTGGCCTCGCGCATCTCGCACTGCGCGGCGGCGGAGCCGCCCTCGGTGCGCGTCGCCGCGTGCTGCCGCGTCGGCAGTGCGCGTCGCGGCGCTCTGGCGGCGGCTGCGTCTCGCCCCCTCGCCACGCGCCGCCCGCTGGTTGGGCGCTGCTCGGCGCGGGGGCAGTCAACGGCGGGGGAGTGAAGAACTCTGCGCCACTTCGTGCACGCCTTCGGGGCCCAGGGTGGGGGGGCCCTTGGGGCCCCCTCGGGGCGCCTGGCCTGCAGCCCCCGGTCCCCCCCCCCCCCTTGCCGCCGCCCGTGCGGGGGGGAGGCCTGGGGGGTCTGGCGGGGCGGGAACGCGGCACACGGGGTAAGCCGACGAGAGACCTGGCGGGCGGGAAGGAGGGTACGCATCCGCGCTGCCCAGGCCACGATCACACCTCTTCCAGCGCCACGATCCCTCGACATCGGCCTCGATCCACGCCGCCAGGACAGTGCTTGCACTCAAGGGCCCACTGCCTCTGCGGATGCGCAATGGGACACATGCTTCGCCTGCTGCCCGGCTGGCGGCCGCCCGCGGGCACCTCGTGGGCACTCCATGCGATGGGTGGGTCTGCAGGGGTTTCGCCTGGTGCCATGATGGTGTGGCCGCCCTCGGACACCTCGTGGGCACCCCGTGCGCTTGGTGGGTCGGCCGGGGTTTCGCCCAGCGCCCGCTCAACGATAGTGTGAATATTGCTTCGGCCTATAGCGAGACGGAGACAGAGAAAGGGAGAGAGACAGAGAGAGAGAGAGAGATGGAAATAGAGAGAGAGAGAGAGACAGAGTGAGAGAGAGAGAGAAAAAAAAAAAGAGAGAGAGAGAGAGAGACACAGAAAGAGTGAAACAGCAAACAACAAGACAGAGAGAGAGAGAGATAGAGAGAGTCGTATGGAGGGATAGAGGAAAGGCGAGGCGAGCGCGCGGTACCGCCAGGGAAGGGACCCGTGTGGGCCTGCGCGGAGGGGCCCGAGCCCTCACTTCGTGTTGCCCATGTTCGGGCGGTCCAGGGCGTGCCGTGCCAGTATCGTAGCCGATGACACCCACCATGCTCAATCAGCTTCGTCGGGTACTCTCTTGCCGTGACCAACTACAGTCAGCCAGCAAAGTAAGGATGCGCGGTAAGGATGCAAGGGCCTTGGAAGGCCATGTCGACAACTTGCGAGCAGGGCGCGGCCAGCAAAAATGGCCAAGGATGGACCGAGGAGGCAAGGATGCGAGGGCACCCTTGGGAACATTGACCTCCTTACTATGCGGGTTTACTGTATGTGCATAGCTTCCAACACAAAAAAAACACGATTTCGTGGTCCCAACGTGTTCGCTGTCAACCGTGCTTTCGGTAGGCTGGTCATTCGTCGAATAGTGGGCGTCTCCAGGTAGCGGCGCGCTGGGTTCATCGGTCTGCGGGAAGACTTGATGACTGAGTACACGACTCGAGACTCAAGGCTCAAGCGCAATTTGCGCATCATCTTCCTCGAACTTTTGTCTCGGATGCACGCCACCGCCGCTAACGTCTCATCCAGAGCGCGCGCAGAACAGGGTGGATGCTAAGGGAGAGGGGGGGGGGCGACAAGCTACGTGCGCTCGCGTAAGATCTGCCGTCATACCCCTCCATCGGAGAAGGAAGAAGCCGAGAGAGAAAGGGTTCGGGGGAGGACCCGACGACTACAAATATGGTGACGAAGGATCATGGGCGTGGACTGGGAGGCTGGGAGGGGACACGGAGGAGAAATAACAAGAGAAAGAAACGGAGAAATAACAATGAGGCCGACGACGAAAAGGAGTGCCCCTCCTCGTCCTCGTCCTGATCCCTCCGAACTGCCTCCTCACATTCCCCCGCTTCCCCCTCCTCCTCCTCCTCCTCCTCCTCCTCCTCCTCCTCCTCCTCCTCCTCCTCCCCTCCTCCTCCCTCCTCCCTCCTCCCTCCTCCTCCCTCCTCCCTCCTCCCCCTCCTCCCTCCTCCCTCCTCCCTCCTCCCTCCTCCCTCCTCCCCCTCCTCTCCTCCTCCTCCCCTCCCTCCTCCTCCTCCTCCTCCTCCTCCTCCTCCCCCTCCTCCTCCTCCCTCCTCCTCCTCCTCCTCCCCCTCCCCCTCCCCTCCTCCCCTCCTCCTCCTCCTCCTCCTCCTCCTCCTCCTCCTCCTCCTCCTCCTCCTCCCTCCTCCTCCTCCTCCTCCTCCTCCTCCTCCTCCTCCTCCTCCTCCTCCTCCTCCCTCCTCCTCTTCCCTCAAGCCACTTGGGCCCATGCCATTTTGGAAGGAGCCAAAACCTCGACCTCGCCACGTGGGGGCTTGAGGGGCAAGCCGCCGCCCACCGCACCCGAGCCAGGCTCGGCAATCCAATTGGTTGGTGCTCGGCTTGGCGAAAACGGAGATGTACACAGCTACGGGTCAGCAGGGGTCTTGGAGTAAGTGTGGGGCCTGCGGGCGCTGCGAGTACAACGCGCTCCTGCTGACACCGGGTAGAAAGTACCACCGCCGGGACAAGTGAAGCTGTTCAAGCCGAAGCCGACTGCAGAGGACATTCGCCAGAGTAACGGCTTGAAGCAGATTGGGCCCAAGAGCGGCAAAGGCGATTCAGGAGACAGGCCGCACGTGTTGCAGGCGGCCCCCAGCCTGACCGCCTCTCCGTGCTGAAGCAGGCGCCGGGCACGTCCACGGACCCGCTGCTGGCGAAGCTCGTGGCCGACAAGATCAGCAAGATCGAGTCCGAGGCCAAGCCGCGGCAGTCCCAGGCTGAGGAGGCGCTCCGCAACGCCTCGGGCGTTTGGCGGGACGCATCGCTGAAACACAAGCAGGCCGTCAACGCCGCGGTTGAGGCCCAGGACAACCTGGCCAATGCGCAGCAGCGCGAGCGCGAGACGGCGCTTACGCTCGCCAAGGCAGAGGCCGCCCGCCGCCTCTCGGCCCAGGGCATGGCCAAGGAGTTGGGCATCACGCCAGCGAGCGAGGTGAAGGAGGTGCTTTTCGAGGTCAAGATCGACGAAGCGTTCTTCCACCAGGCCGATGACCTGGACATCGAGGCGTCAGACCGCCAGGCGCTCAAGGGGCTCGAGCAGGAGCTCAGGGGCGCCAAGATGCACATGGGCGGCAAGCGCGCGGAGGTCAAGTCGCGGCAGAAGCGCACGACGGCGCTGCGCCAGGAGATCGACGAGCGCCTGGCCAAGAAGCGGCGGGCGGAGGACGCCCCCGCGGAGAAGGCCCCGCCAGGAGGCATCGGCGCAGCGGGCAGCGGCGCAGCCGCGGCGGCAGCGGCGGCAACGGCAGCGGCGCCAACAGCACAAATCCCAGCGGACAACGACGCGGAGCTCGACGAGGAGGCCAGCTTGCAGGCCGAAGCGAACCGCATCAGCGAGGCCAAGCTGGCGGCAGCCCGCGCGGCCAAGCAGGCGAAGCTGATCCAGGAGCAGGCCGCCGCAACGGCGGCCAACGGGGCCAACCCGTGAGTGCAGGGGCCGCCCTTGGGCCCGCGACCGAGTCCGTCGACTGATCAGCTGCGGGAGAGGGCGGCTCAGCCACGGCCTGCTGGCGCTCAGCAGGACTCCGGTGCATCCAATTCAGTCAGCGCGTTCTTCTTTGCCAACGTCACGAAGGTCTGGGGTGGTGTCTCGACGCAGCCCTGCCATGTCATCGGCCTCGTCGGGCCCACGTAGACAGCCAGAGCATTGCAGTGTGGGACAGCAAGGCCAGGGCGGCCAAGCTGAGGCCCCTGGCCAACCCCGCTCGACCCTCAGGGCAGTGCGAAGCCTCCTCCAGCCAGGCCCATCGGGCCAACGAGGGAGGAGAGTGGCTCTTGGCACAGGGCCATTCTAGCGCACGCACCCAAGCAGAGTCGTGGAGAACACCACGGGCAGACGGCTTTGCTGAGCTCGACGACACGCAGGTCTCAATGATCGACATGACAGGCTTCTCTTTTGCATCCGTCTGCTTCTACGGCTTCGCAAGCGAAGGTTGGTCTGGAAAAAACTACATCGCTTTCGTCGGTTGATCGCCCTCCTGTCCAATCTCCAGTTGCCGCGGGTCGTCTTCGCCGATTGGAACATGCCCGCGTCTAGCCTCGAAGATCGTGGGTTCCCCCCTCGCGCCCAGGGGCATGTTCTGAGGGCTTCGAATTTGTCAGTGACTTGCACAGCAAGTGCTCGAGGTTCGGAGATTTATTCTGGCCTAGCCAATTCCAGTTTCCTGCCGTGCGTTTTGTCCGTCGAAGCGATTGTCGACGCTCCGTGGAAAACGCATTGTGGGTTGTTAGTGGGGTCGAGGCCCAACGTCTTGAGGCGCAGGCTGCCTCGCGGGCTCGGAGGGCGGAGGAGGCGGCCATCTTGTTTGCTGATCTTTTGGGGGGGGGGGGGCCAGAGACCCGCTGCGGTGGTCAGGGCCCTGCGTCACCCAGCCAAGGCGTTCTAAATCCAAATGTAAACCACGTTTTCCAATGGGAAGCGGAGCTCGATTTTAAATTGGGCGCCTGGGGTGAAGAGCTGTAGAGGCTCGGACTCTAAGGCAAGCGGTGTCGGAGGCCCATCTGGAGCTAGCCCTGTTGGCCCCGAGGCCCCGAGGTCTCCCCGAGCCCCCAGCCCCCCCCCCCCCCCACCACCACCACCACACACCCACACACACAACACCACACCACCCACCCACCCACCCACCACCCCCCACCCACCCCACCCCACCCACCCACCCCACCCCACACGTCTCACCTTGCACGAGGTCACCGATAGTCAGCCCGTAGAGTCTCACGGCCCCTCGGCCATCCCCTCGTGCACGGATGCTGCTGCTGCTGGGCCTGCTCTCCCCCCTTCCACATTCCGTCCACGTTATGGCTCAGGCATCACGCCCACGCTGGCTTTCTCTCCACCCCTGCGATTGGGAAGTCATTCGCGGCTCCATAGCTTTCAAGGCGGGGGGCGAACACCCTCAACATGTGAGCGGGCTTTTTGTCGGCGCGTCGCCCACGGCAGTGGAAGGCGGTATCTGCGAGTATCACCAGACGACGCCGACCAGCCACAAGCCTCGCCGCGCCGAGGGCCCACGCTTTCGAGTACACGAATTTCGCATGTCTGAATGCAGCCGTGCCTTGCCGCTTCGGGGCAGCTGCTGCTCCTGGCGGCCGCGCTGCCACGCGGTCCTGGGGCGGCTGGCGCACCGCAAGCGTGGGGAGAATGGCCCCCGTCAGTGCACCACGTTGCTTCAGGCTTGTCAGAATGTAGCCAACCACTACCCCAAGCAGACCCACGCCCCTTTACATCGGCAGTGGACCTGGTCGAAGTGGCTGGAGCACATCAAGAACCCCTTTCAGTCACTCCATCGACGCGCTGCAAGGCATGGTGGAGGTGGCGGAGAAGGGGGCTAGCAGGCCCCGCGGCAAAACCCTACACGCCTCCTTGGACGGTTGCAGGACATGGGCTGTAGAAGATAGCTCGGTCAACATTTTACACGAGGCGGTCAAGTGGCTTCCCGCGGCGACGCACGAGACCGTCACCGACGACGGGGTTCTGCACCACCCGATGGACGTAGTAGACCACAAAGTTCGGACATGGCATGGCCTCTGGGGTGATACCCCTCTCGATCGTGTCGAGTTGCTACGGGTGATGGACTCAGTCAAATGCGAGGCTAGCCCCCAGGGGTTGCCGCCCCTGACAGGCGACATGCTCCGCCAAGCGGCGCGCAAGATGAATCCGAAAGGCGGGGCAGGGTGTCGACCGCTTCTCGCCCCTGGACGTGGAGAGGTTGCCCCCAGAGGGCTTGGGCGACCTGGCTCGAGTCCTCGCCGCGGCGGTGACCTGCCCCAACTGGCCGCGGCAACTCCTTGTGATCATCGGCCGCCTGCTGCCGAAGAAGGCGGGGGGGGGGGGGGGGCGAGGCCATCGGCCTCGCGGGGATGGCACCTCGCATCTGGTCGTCGGCGCGCGAGCCGCCCATCAAGGAGTGGGCCCGCGAGTCGCAGCCGCGCTGGGACGCAGCGGCGGAGGGGAACTCGGCCCTGAGAGAGGCGTTCCTCCGCATCCTGGGCGAGGAGGTCCATTCGCGCCCGGGCACCCCCCTTCGCCCACGGACTCCTGGACATCCAGGCGTTCTCCGACAGCATGGCGCCAGTCTGGCCGAGACGACGCTGGCCTTGGGCTTCCCGCCCGCCATTTTATTTCTGGAGCTCCAGCTGTGTCTCGCTCCTCGGGCTCTGTCTGGCCCAGGACAGCTGCTTCTCGGAAGCATCCCAGCCGAACCGCAGCGTGATCCAAGGGCTGCGCAGCGGAACCCGTTTCGCCCGCTGCATGACGTAATTCATCCTTGACAAGTTGACGGCATCCCACCCTACGGTGGACATGAGGTTGTGGATCGACGATCTGTGGCAGCATGCAGCGGGCTCGCGCACGCACATTCGTAAAACCCTTGTCCGCGCCCTCCTGGATACCAGCGATCGTGTGGATCGCGAAGGGCCCCAGGTGGCCAGCAAGAGCGCCACTGTCTGTTCGCACCGCCAAGACGCCAAGCACATAGCTGCCCGCCTTCGCAGGCATGGCGTCGAAGCCACAGCGGCTTTGCAGACCAGCCTTCTAGGAGATGACACAGGTGCTGGCAGACGCAACCGTGCTACCCAACGCAAGCGAGCCCAGAAGTACACGGTCATGCACAGCAAGCTTGTGAAGTGGACCAGGGCCGGTCGGAGGTACAGGCCGACCATGCGTTTGAAAGCAGCAGGTGCGCAACCAGCAGGCCACTACGGCCACCAGGTGCATGGGATTCACGGCGCGCACCCCCTGAGCATGCGTCGAAGGCTAGGGCGTGTGGCCAGCTCGGCACGCAGGCGGAGGTGTCCCACCACAGCGTTGGACCTTCGGCATGCTGACCAGGACCCAGGCTATCGCATGCCGTGTGCGTGCATCAAGGTGTGGCTGCAGACGTGGTTCGAGACCCCAAGGCTGAGTGCTGGCATCAAGCTAGCGTGGGCGGCGGCGGTGCAACGTTTCAAAGACATGGCACCAGCGCTGCGCAGCCGCAACGTCCGCGGCCCGCTCTCAGCAGTTACCACACACCCTTCGCAGTACGACTGGGACCCAGTGTCTGCCGTTGGGTTGGGCACGAAACCGTCTGGCACATAAGGCAGGGAGTGTTTCATCTTCGACGGCGACCTGGGGCCCGACACAGATATGTCAGATATCGCATCGACCTTCGAGGCGACCATCAGACAACGACAGTGGGAGCGCGCGGCCTCTCATCGGTGTGGCGGGGGCCTTGAGACGGGAGTTGATAATAGATTTTATCGTTTTCTCATCCACTCCCTCGAGCGAACCCACAAGGGACACCAGCTCGCGGAGCTCATGCTCTGCATTGCGGCACGGGGCCCTTGGCCCTTTTCACCGCGTTGCTGACGTGGTCGGTGGGATCACCGTTACCATCTGCCCTCGTTGCGGAGAAGAGCCCGAGACTGAGTTTCACAGATGTTGGAGCTGCGCCAAGAACACAGGCTCGGCCGCCTTTACTGCATCTGCTTCTTTGGTTCCTAAAGCTTTCGCCCACCACGAGGTTGAACCATGTTTCTGGCTACGCGGGCTGCTACCTGCAGCATGGACCGAAGCGCCGCCACCCTGCAGCGAGCCAGCCTGTCTGGCCAGCGGGGTCGAGGAGGCCTTGGCCAGCGGTTCCCTAGAAGCAGGCTCGGATGCATGCCCGCTGCTTGTTTTCGGCGACGCGAACGGAGGACCCGACTCGCGGGACGCCAACCTCAGGCGAGTCGGTGTGGCCGTGGCAGCCATCTCACAGTTTGCCCCTTGTTCGATCGACGCCTCGATCAGAGGACGTCTTCCAGGGCACCGGCAGACGGTGGCCAGAGGAGAACTTCTGGGTTTGGTCAACGCAGTAGAATTCAGCGCTGGCAGTCTGACCTGCGTTACTGATAATGAAGCAGTGATGATAGGCTGGCACTCAGGGCGATATGCTTCGCCCAGGGGACAGAACTCTGACTTGTGGAGGAGGCTCGGCCGGCTCCAAGCTCAACGAGACTTCTCAAGGATTACAGAGTTGCAGGTAGAGTCGCACCAGTCGGCCTACCGCCTTTCTCGGGCCAAGGGCCCGCAGTGGCTTGCACTTGGCAATGTGGTTGCCGACGAGCTCGCAGGACAGGCTGCGAACGAGTGCAGGGTGGCGCAGCACATACGCCACAGGATTGCTGCCGCCGGAAGGGATGCCCGTTTGGTCAGGTTTCGACTGCTGCAGGCTACCCTGGAGGCTGCGAAGGCAGCCAAGCTGAACGGTGAGGGTGAAGTGAAAAAAACGAGTGCGCTGTCCCCCTCCCGTTGCTTCAGCCCTTGCTCTGTTCGCCTCCCCCCACTCTTTGTCCGATGACGGCAAAAGCTGCCTGAGATGTCGGGGCAGCGCGTCTCAGGCAGCCCTGACCGAGTGGAGACGGAGTGTTTGTCTGGAGCTTATTCGTCAGGACCAGTCTTTTTCTAAACTGCCGAGGGGTCAGACTATACATATAGGAGGGGCTCGGACGCATCCAAGCCACACACTCCTAGTCAGTCACAAGCTTAGCCTGTGGTTTGGTAGTTCGTGCGGGTTTTATGGGAGCCAACAATTGAAGGGTGTCACCTCCGAATGCCTGTCGTCCCCCAGCCTTCCCCATGAGAGGCGTGTTCAGATCACGCCCACACGGAGGAGTTATTTAAATAGAATATACGAAGGCAAATTCCCGAAGTATAAGTAACCTAATTACACCTGGGCAGACGGCTCGGGTGGTGGTTAGGTCATGTCACCTCGCTTCGAGATCGGTCCACTCCACTCCACTCCACTCCACTCCACTCCACTCCACTCCACTCCACTCCACTCCACTCCACCTCCTCCTCCTCCTCCTCCTCCTCCTCCTCCTCGCCTCCCTCCTCTCTCCTCCCTCCCTCCTCCCTCCTCCCCTCCTCTCCTCCTCCTCCCTCCTCCCTCCTACCTCCTCCCTCCTCCTCCTCCCTCCTCCTCCTCTCCTCCTCTCCCTCCTCCTCCTCTCTTCCCTCCGCCCTCCTCCTCCTCCTCCTCTACCCGACTCCCTCTCCCAGTTGCTCCTCCTTCTCAACCTCCACCACCTCATCCTTCTCCCTCGCCAACGGCTGCTCCCACAAGAGGGGCGCCGCGGCGCCAAGGGCGTCGAGATTGGACGGCTCCCGCTGAGGCCGCCGACGAGTCGCCGCGCACGCTGTACCCCACGCTGCGCCCCACGGGCTCGCCCCGCTCGAAGGCCACCCTCTCCGCGAGGGCGATCTGCGGGGGGGGGGGGCGGTCGGGGGGCTCTCCCCCCGAAGAGGGGCGCTTTGGGAGGAGGGCCCGTCTCCTCCTCTGCGCGCTCTCCACTCCATCTCGCCCTCGGCTGCTTCCCCATCCCTCCTCCTCCAGCCCCAATCCCTGGCTGCCTCCCCATCCTCATCCTCGCTCTCGCCCCACACAACCACTCCCTCACTCCCTCCCCCATCCCTCCCTCCCTCCATGTTCCGCCGCCCCCTCGTCGTCCTCGTCGTCCTCGTCGTCCTCCTCATCCTCCCCCTCCTCCTTTTCCCCATCCTCCTCCTCCTTTTCCTCCCCTCCTCCTCCTCCTCCTCCTCCTCCTCCTCCTCCTGCTCCTGTTCCTCCTCCTGTTCCTCCTCCTGTTCCTCCCCCTCGTCTTTCTCCTCCTCCTCCTCCTCCTCATCCTCCTCTTCTTCCTTACCGTCCTCTTCCACCTCCTGCTTCTCCCACTCCTCCTCCTACCCTAAACCAACCACGGCAATGATCTGACGCGCAGAGCGTACCTGATGAAATGTGGCCGCTGCTGTACCGTGTCGCGTACTTCACGAAGGACGATAATGCATACCCTGACCGAGGAGGGCAGTACCGTGGAGCGAACCTGATGAAGCGTGGTCGATGCTGTTGCCTCGCAGGCCCGATGCTAAGCTACGCGAGGCGGGCCGGGGAGCCCCGACTCCTGCGGGAGTGGGTCCTCTTGTTTGCAGATGGGTCTCGGCGACTCTGACCAATTTTCGGCAGCACTGGAAGGTATATGTCACCTACCAGTTGTCTAAGGATAGCGACAAGGCTGGGACCCAAAGTAGTAGACCGCTGCACGGACTGCGTTCGTCTGAAAAGATATGGGTTGATACGGCGAGAAGGAGAGCTAGAGGTGTACCCTTGTGTGAGGAACACGAAGGGCAGTTACATGGGGGATGCGAATGCGGCCACATCATTTCAGAACGCCGTTGCACCCCCTGTTCGCGAGAGGCAAGAAGGACATCTTCTCATGGGTGGATCTCCTGACCAGAATCTCCAGGCGGATCTGGCCGTGGCAGCCGGCAGCCAGAGCCACCCAGAAGGCCACACAGGGGCAAGGAGCGCCCGAAAACCTCGACCCTCTGATCTGTGATGTCGACGGGCGACGACGGCAACGGATGGCGGCGGCGACGGCGGCGCCGACTCGGGAGGTTCGAAGTCCATTGGGAGTCCCAGTAGGTAGAGCGCCCTGGCTCCAACTGGACTCAACGTCGCGCAAGAGGAGGCCGAAGTATGGCCGAAGTATGGCCGGAGGCCTAACAGCTGAGCCCCTGAGCTCCAGCTGGATTTACACTCCCACTGGCCTCAGCGTCGCCCGAACGACGTCGACGGCGACGACAGCTGGGAAAACCCAAAGTTCCGATACCGCTACTCCCCGGACCTCTCCGCGGGTGCGTTTTGACCAGAAATCCGAGCCGAATCCAGCCATGGCCTCAAGGACCTCCCAGGAGGCCCAGAAAGGCGAAACGGAGGCAAGGGTAGCGGCATTGGTACCATTAGTCCCAGATGTGGTCCGAGTGGATGGGGTCGACGGATCGCGCCGCATCGCCGATGCATCGGCGATGCACTTGCGACCTCGGCGATGCATCGGCGACGTCAGCGTGGAGAAGGTCGGGCGCCACATCCAGCCACATCACCGATGCATCGACGATGCAGCGCGATCCTCCGACCCCATCTGCTCGGATGTTATTTTGGAGGCCTACAGTAGGAGTGTGACCACAAGAAACTTTCCACGCGAAACCAAAACCTGAGATCCCAGGGCGTCCATTGTTTGTTGATGTGGGAGCGTCACGCTTTCCACAGCAAAACCACCGAAACCCAAGAAACCCAGACCAGAGCACCCTGGAGGCAAGCAGAGTGTTTCTTGGCATGGGGTTCCATTGTGAGGGGCGAGGGCCTCAGGAGGCCCAAAACGACGAAGAGGAGGCAACGGCGGTCTCGGTACCTCCTCCTCCTCCTCTAAACATCAGCGGCGGCGACGACGGGCAGCGCTCAGCGCGGCCACCCCGCGCGGAGGGCCGGGCGCGCCGCGGCGATGCGGCGCGGCTCCGTCACGACCACCCGGGCCGACCGCGCCCAGGACAAGGGCCTCGGGCTTCGGCGGCGCGGGCGCGGGCGCGGGAGGTGCTCGTCGCGCGCGGGTCGGGGCGGTCGGGCGCGCTCGAGGGCACTGAGGGGCATCGAGGGCATAGAGTGGCTCGAGGGGTTCCGAGGGGCTCGAGGGCGCGCTCGAAGATCGAGGACGTCGATGGGCTCGGGAAGCCCAGGGACGTCAAGGCCTTAATGGCGCGTCTGGCTCCCTGGTGGGCTTCCCAGGTCCCAGGGCCGACAGCGCCATGGACGAAGGCCGCGGCGGGCGAGTCGCGGCGCGACAGGGCGGGCGCTCGTCGCTTTTGCCAAGGCCTCGGGCGGGAGAGAGGGGGGGGTTCACGATGGGGCCGCGGTGAGACCTCTTGCTCCTCCTCACCCCTCCGCCTCGCCGCCTTGTTCCTGCTCCGTCTCCATGCGGCCGGACCTAGAACAGAGGAACATCCTTCAAGAACACTGCATCCTCCGCGGGCCAAACTGAGGAACAGTCGAGGGTACCCTCCCCTGGGATACACAAGAACATCCAGCAAACACGAAGAATATCAGGACACTCTCCCCACACCGACAAGGATCTGCAACCTCGAGAAGACCGTATGCATCCTCGATGGCTTATGCGGGAGCGAAACACCCTCGCATAACAAGCGCCCATCCAACCAAAACCCTGTAGAAAACGCACCGACGAAGGATATCGAACAGGGGATGACTGTTTAGAAAACACCAAAGATGGGCGTCGGGTGGATTTTGATACCGTGATGCTCACCCAGTTCATCCTTGTCCTCGGACCCCACCCTCCTGCTCATCCTCGTCTTGTTCAGCTTCCTCCTCCTCCTCTTCATCATCCTCTTCTTGCCGCCCCAGCTGTTCGTCTATGTTCAGCTTTTCACCTTCATCACCCGAAAGAACAACTCCTGAACGCCTCAAACAAACTCCTGAAATCTATCCCTCAATGACCTCGATGCTAGAACCTGTAAACTGCTTCACGTCCGATCTGCAGCCTACTCAAATCAAGTGCCTAGACCGCCCAGGTCGCCATCGTGGTCGACGTTTCGAAAGAGATCGATAACGGCCCCGAGACCGAAATGGGGCCCGAAAAACGGAAAACTGTGGCCAGAAGCGAGCGACCGGTCTCTATCAACGACCTTCGAACCACGACGCCTCGGATGACGACGGCGGCGGCGACCACGACGGACCCAGACGCCCGACATCGTGATCTCTTCACGACGTGGACCCCCGCAGGTCCGCGACCCGGTTATTCTCCAGAACCGGCGAGTCATCCTGGGCACTGTTCGGACAGCCTCGGGGCACGGTAAGGGGCCCCCATGGGGGCGAGAACTGCCCGAAACCTCCCGTCGTGATCTCGCTCACGGCGCGACGGGTTCCTGGGGACGACGACGACGACGACGACGACGACGACGCCGACCACGACGGCGACGACCACGACGACGGCCACGACCGCGACGACGGCGACGGCCACGACGACGACGGCGGCGGCCACGACGGCGAGGGGCTCGGGCGGCGGCGCGCCCCTCGGAGGCGGTGCCGTCGGCGGTGCTGGCCGCGGACGAGGGCGCCTCCGCCCACCTGGCGCCGCTGTCGCCCTTGGGGCTGGCGGCGTCGGTCGGGCCACCTCTGCGGCGGAGCGTCGCTGCCACGGGGCGGATGCCGCGACTCGGCGGCGAGGTCTTCGGACACCTGCGTCGATGCTCGGCGGCCTTCCCGCCTCAGGATGCTTGCCACACGGAGCGGCCTGTAAACGGAAGTTGTCGTTTTCGTGTTGAGTTCGATGTCCGCCGTTTTGCCTTCAATCCGCCTGTGCTGCAGGACGAGACCGAAACGAAGACGGCCCACGAGATCGCCAAAACACCGTTTAGGTCGACCCCTGGGTTACCACCAGCTGCGCCTCGCCGAGAGTGCTGGGGGCGACCAAATCAGCCCAAGCGGCCGCAAGAAATCCGAGTTCTGACCCAGAAGCGTAAATTCGGCGGCGCGCCAAGGATGGGGGGGCGTGAGAAGAAAGAGGCCCTCTGGGAAGGCGGCGGGGCCTCCGGCCTTCTGAGACGTCTGCTGTGTCCTCGGGGAAGGTTCAGAGAACTTCTCACCAGGCTGGGAGGCTTAAGAACGTTCCTCGCTTTGATGGGACTGGCACAGGATGCGTTCCAAAAATTCTTCAGTATCTAGCGGCCCTCGTTTCTGCAACCCGCGTGGAGCATTCAGAAGTCTGGGGCCATCATTGACTATTTCGGAACCTTGGGCATGACCTCTTGCTCCTCTGAGCTGAGAGGCAACTTCTGGCAGGTCTTCGAAGGAACGGTCAGAGAACGTTTATTTGTTTCGCGACAGCGGACGTTACTGGTCCCCTACCCCCCTTCCTCGCCCACCCCGGGTAACGCCCAGCATCGGCCAGGAGAACGCTCTCTGAGAGGCAACTTCTGGGAAGTCTCGCCAGGAACGATTAAGGGCTATCGAGCCCAATCAGGCGCCGTTACAAGAGAACTAGACCAGGTATTCAGCGCGGGATAGACTGATCGGAAGCGGCCAAGAGGGGGGTGTCCAAGAGGGGGGGGTGCAAATCATGACCGGCGGGTGCGCGGCCCAGGGGGGGCCAGGGACGTAATGAAATAAGAAGGGGCGCCATGAAATCTGGGGAAATATCATGGCCCCCGCCATGATATCGACCCCCCCTTAGTCATCACCCCCCTCTTTTCCGCCCCCGAACTGAGCCGGATGAGGCCCGATTGAACGGTGTGTAACGGGACTGCGCCGGATGAGGCCGGTGTTCGACCACTGACACAGCAGTGCCGATGCGGTGCGTCAGCTTCCAGGAGCTGCATCCTAAGATCGGGGATCGAGATCGCAGGACCCCCTCTGCCTTGTGGCGAGAGCGAGGATCGAGGGCCGAAGCAAAGACCGCGCCCCCCCGCTCGGTGGCGCGGAGGCGAGATTCGAGGCCCTAGAAGTGCAAGAAGCGGCAAAGGCATATACTTCCAGGGATGCGCGCGGAGTTCTTGCTCGGCGCTGGACACCCTGGCGGCGCCCCTGTCGGGCTTCCGGCGCGCTCAGGGATCGAGAGGGGTCGAGGAGGGGGAGGAGGTCTATCGGGTTCTGATTGGTGTCCTCGGTTCACAACCACTGGCTTGAATTGGTTTTCAGCTCTGTTCTGGGCACACGTCCGGCCAGTTTAGATAGGTTCAGGCATTCCCAGGATAAGGTTTAGATAGGCTGCGGCATGTCATTGGCGCGGTATGATATGGCTTGGGAAGTTCAGCTTGGTCTAGATTTGCACAGGGTGCGGTTTACATAGGTTCAGGTCTGTCCTGGGTGCGATTTAGAAGAAAGGTTCAAGTGTGTCGCGGGTGTGGATGATACTCGACGGATGTATTCCCTGGTGGCGGCTTAGATCGGTCCTGGCTGGCTTAGATCAGCTTCTGGAAAAGTTTAGCTGTGCAGTTGTGCAGACAAGCTGTTCAGGTCCCAAAATAGCTAGGGCACTCAGGCCATCTTACCCATTCTACGTCTGCAGCTGGTTGGTAGCCTTGGCTGTCACAAGAAGTTGCGGGCCCGTGCCCCCTCGTGGGCGCCTCGTGGGCGCCCCGCGCTTGGGGGTATGCCGATGTTGCGTCGCGTTGCCGTCCATGCCGCCTCGTGGGCCCCTCGGGGGCGCCCCCCCGCTTGGGGGGGTAGTTATGTCAAGGTGCCGCCACGCTGCCGCCCGCGCCGCCTCGCAGGCGCCCCGTGGACGCACCACACAGCCTACGCCGCACAGCATACACAGCATGGCTCACGTCACATAGCCTACGACCCATAGCATTCCTTTCCAGCTCGCACCGCATACCTGACACGACTTAAAGCTCACACCACCTTCCTTGTCCCCATACGCTTCACGTCCATAGCTAACACTTCGTAGCTTGTACGGCATAGCGTTCACCACATAGCTCACACGATATAACTTCCAGCTCCATCGGGCCACCCAGACAGAGGACAGCATAACCCCACTCGCGCAATGTGCGCCACCTGTTTGGTCGATCTGGGAAACCTGTGCGCTGGGTTTGGGGCATTCCGTGTTCCGAACCATCCTGTGCTGTTGACTCCTTGGGTTGAATCAGCAGCGCCCCGCGTCATCCACCTCACCTCCCCCTCTCCTCCCTCATCCTCATCCTCATCACCAACCTCATCACCATTATCCATCAACAGCATCATCACTACCGCCGTCATCACCACCATCATCGTGATCATCACCATTATCCTCAGTATGTTCAGCATCGTCTCCGTCATCACCAGCAGCATCACAAGCATCAGCATACGCATCACCATCATCACCAGCATCATCATCATCATCATCATCATCATCATCATCATCATCATCATCATCATCATCATCATCATCATCAGCAGCACCAGCACAATCGTCACCACTTACATCCCCATCAACATCATCAACATCATCAGTATCAGCATTAGCATCATCACCATCAGCATCATCAGCATCATCATCATCATCCTCATCCTCATCCTCATCATCACTATCAACATGATAATCATCAACATCATCCTCATCATCAACAACATCATCATCTCGTCATTAGCACGACCATCATCCGCAATAATCGGCATCTGCAGCATCAGCAGGCTAAACATACTCGTCATCGTCATCCTCGCCACCATCATCAGCAGCTGCAACACTGCGTTCGTGCACGTCCCCGCCACTGATTTGGGTACACCCCTCACACGTTTCGTGGCCCCACAGGGAACGCCACAGAAGGCGCCAGTGGATGCGTTTGCACGCGTCCCCGCCTCTCATTTCGGCACACCCATCACAATCTTCGTGGCCCGATAGGGAGCTGCACGGAGGGTCCCAGCGGCTGAGTTCGCGTGCGTCCCCGCCTCTCAATTTCGGGACACCCATCACACGGCTCGTGGCCCCATGGGGAACTTCACCGAATGCCCTAGCGGCTGCGTTCGCATGCGTCCCCACCTCTCCCAAGTCTGCACACCTCGCACGAATTCCGTGGACCCACAAGGAGCTCCACCGACGGCCCCAGAGGCTGCGTTCGCGCGCGTCCCGGCCATTCGTTTCGGCACACCCCTTTCACGTTTCGTGACTCAACCGAAGCCCCAGTGACTGCGTTCGAATGCGCCCCCGCCTCTCGTGTCGGCACAACCCCCATACACGTCGTGGACCCAGAGGGAGCTCCACCGAAGGCCCCAATGGCTGCGTTCGTGTGCGTCCCCGCCTCTCATTTCGACACACCCCTCACCTGGCCATCGATCGGACGTCTCCTCCCTGTGCATTTTTCGGTTTTGTGCGTGGTTTTGTTCGCCAAATGATCAAGGATGCTCCTCGATCCGACGGAAAAATGCACACGTCCGAGCGATGCCAAGTCACGCGCTGCGTGGCCCCATCGGAACCTCCCCATCCTGCGGCCCGCCTGCCGTGCGGTGCTCACACCTGCACATGGCTGGGATAGTCGCCGGGATAGGTTTCCGCGCAAAGTTGCGGCCTGACCTGCTCTGATTTCTCCACGCGAGCACGGGTGAAAGCACTCAAAAAGAGCAGGAGGCGAGAAAACTAGCAGCGGAAACCAGGCACGCCACCCCATGCCAACCCCACGCCCTTTTCTTGTCGGGGTACTCACGCCACCTTCCAGGCCGTTGATCCCCGGGTCGGCCGATGTGGACAATTCCCCGGCGTGAGGGAGAGCTGCAATGGCGGGAGCAGGTATCGGGGGCGCGCAAACATGGGACAGGGATGCATTGATTTGGCGCGCGGTCGCCAAATCCATGTATCGAGGGAGATGCCCTGCCCAAAATGCGGCCGGTGCCGCCTCGCTCGGCGGCGGAAATCCGCGGTTTCCCATGGAAACGGGACCCGTCGCTAATCCACGCCCCCTTAATCCATGTTTGCGATCGCCTGGAAGTAGCAGGAGGAGGGTACGAAGAGAAGAAGGCACGAGGCCGCACGACAGCCGCTCCGCCTAGCCCCTCTGGTCTGAAATCGTCGACCAGGTACTGCGGAATCTGGGTGCTCTTGCCTGAGGGGAGGGCGCACACCGGCGAGAGCTCCTCCCCCTCCTCCTCGTCGTCCTCCTCCTCCTCCCCCTCCTCCTCGCCCTCCTGCTCCTTCTCCTCCTCCTCCTCCTCCTCCTCCTTCTCCTCCTCCTCCTTCGTTCTCCTTCTGCGTCCTCCTCCTCCTCCTCCTCCTCCTCCTCCTCCTCCTCCTCCTCCTCCTCCCCTCCGCATCATCCTTCCCGCTCTCTTCCTCGTCAGAACCGGAGTAGTGGTCGGGGTGGACGAGATGGGGTCAGCGGATCAACTGCGCGCAACTGATTTGTCGCAGCGACGCGTTCCGGATGCCACGAACCTCACCACAGAGGCTGTGAGAAAACACGACCCCCCAGACCAGAAAAAATGGCACTTCTTGGTGTGGCACATGTGTTCGTGGGGCTCTTTTCGGCCCCGCGTCGCTTATTGAAAAGCCAGCTCTGGACCAAAAGCAACGACTCCATGAACAGACTTAGGCATGCGCGCTTCCAAATCCTCGTCAACTACGGTTCAAACGCGCTCCTGGGCTTAGACGACATGCCAATCAGCCGAGTTGCTGGCCAGCCAGCCGACAAGAAAATCAACCAACAACAAGCCAACCGGCAGAAAGCGTGGCCACGCAAGCAATCGGAGGGCGGAAGCCTTCGGAACAACGTGCAGACTGCGAAGCACGCCCGACAGACAGGTGTCTTCGAGTGGTTCAAATACGATCTGTTTTATGATTTTCAACTTCCCCCCCTTCACACCCCTCGCCGGCGTCGCCCCTGCTCCCTGCCCCCCGTTCGGGCCATCCTCCCCCCCCAAAGAGGCCCCAGGAGGCCCCAAAGAGCCCAAGGAACCGCAGGACGGCCACAAGAGGCAGTTTTGTTTCTCCTCTGCCTTGGCCTCCTTCTCCTCCCTCTCATCCCCCTTTCCCTTTATATCCCAAGTAATATCCCTCAGAAGGTCCCACAGCGGCTGGGAACACGTAATCCGATAACTTGGCCAGACTTTGGCCCGACGTTCAGCCGCATGCGTGTCTCCAAACAACAGGGGGCGGTGGAGGTTCGCCGTATACGTTTTCGATAATCCAACAGTGCCATCCAACAGGCCCCACAATCGCCAATGCTGGCCCGAAGTGTCTGTTAAGCCCCAGCGTGTCCGGACGTTGTGCCGCGAAGCACTGTGGACATGGTTAGAGAAAAAGTGAGCCCTCCTGGAGGGACTCTGACTTCCGCAACAACGCGGTGAGAACAGGTCATGCAGAAGAGCCGAGCACGGCTCCCGCACAACTGCCCCGAGATCAGGGCGACCGCGGCACAAGAACGGTAGCGGGCGCGCAGCACGGAAAAGCAGGTCTTGCCGTCGCTCGAACGTCCAGTCCCCGTGCCTTCTTTGATTTCGTGCGTGCTATTTTCCGCTCGATGACCCAGGATTCTCCTCGATGGCCCTCGCCGAGAAAAATGCACACGTCTGAGCGATGCCAAGAGGTGGGCGCGAAAGGAACTGCAGATTGCTCGGTGGAACTCGGCGAGGGAGACGCCAGCTGCAGCCCTAAGGCGTCGGGGGCCTCGGCGAGCGCCACGAGGGACTCCGCGGCTGGCACGACGTTAGAGGCCGATCGCCCTCACGGATCCATCATCGGCCCCCCCGACGCCTCTGGGCTGCAATTACGTAGAGCCGAGGAGGGGTGGAGGGAGGAGGCAGGAGGACGGGGAGGGAGGCGCCAGGGGAGTGCGAACTGGACGGGCCCCGCTCAAAATCTGTCCGCGGACCCCTCCTGGCCTCCAGATCCGTTTTTGACGGTCACCGGAGCTGAGAACGGCCCCTGGAGACCGAAGAAGGCACACCAAAAATCATCGAATTTAGAATCTCTGATCTCTTCCCCCCTGATGGCCAGAACCAGTGCTGGGCCACCTCAGACCCCCAGCCGGCTCCGAGGAGGGAGGAGGGAGGAGGACGGGGAGGGACGAGGGAGGGGGGGGGGAGAAGAGGGACGAGGAGATGACGAGTGCGAGGTCGGCGGAGAAGCGCGAGGGCGCGTGGAGAGGGCGCCGCGGGGCGGCGGGGCGCCGCTGCCGGTCCCGCCGCTGACGACCAGGCAGCTCGAGTCCCCGAGCGCCTCTGCGGCGGGGGCGCCGCCCAGGGCCCACCCTCGCCCTCGCGGTCGGGCCCCCCCCCCTGGGGCCCCCCCCCCTCCTCTGCTCGGGGGAACGGGAGGGTGGGGAGAGGGGCAGAGGTGGGGCTGAGGGAGAGTTGAATATGCAGCTGGGTGCGTTCCCTGACCCCGCCTTGGGAGAACCCCCCCCCTCTACGATACTCCGATCCAGAGACCTCCCAAATTGAATCCGAGTAGATGGGGTCGAAGGGTTGCGCCGCATCGGCGACATCGGTCAGGCGTCGGCGCCATCGGCGTGGAGAAACTCTGGCTCCACATCGAGCCGCATCGCCGATATATCGGCTACACGGCGCGATCCTCCGACCCCGTCTACTCGGAGTCCATCTGGGAGGCCTAGATCCTCTCGTTATACAAAAATCACGCTGGGGCATCTTGGACATTCTCGGCCTCTGGGGGCCTCGCCAGGCCCTGGGACCGTTCAGGAACTGCCCAGGATGGGAAACAAGTCCAGGGGAAGAGGTCTCTAGACCTCCGCTTGTGAAACTAAAGCCGGTCGGATGTCTGCTCAGATACCCGAAATGTGTACGGGAACAAAGGCACGATGCCCAACAGCACATCTTGTCCAAACCAGACAGCGGCCGCTGTTGGGCAGGCGGCCTTCGCTGTCACAGCGTCCGCGGCGACACCGACAGCGAGGCCTGCGCAACAGGAACAGGAAATGCCGTCGGTATCCATACAGCGGATCAGTGTCGTGTCAACGCTGGCGTTGGTTCCTGGCCTGCTCGGGCGCCTCCTGAGCCTCAAATTGGCATTGGCGAGCAGCCACCGCTGCCTCCGTGGCCAACTTGCGGGGTATCGTGCGGCTCGCGGACCTTGGCCTCCGCCTCAGCCTCCGCGGCCTCACGAGCGGCCGTCTGCTTTCGGAGCCGGTCGACGGCCGGACGGCCAGAGACAAGTCTGAAGAACCGAGGCGTAGGTCTTGGGCTTCAATTCCTTGGCAGGCTGCGTGTAAGGCCAAATTGGCGTGGTTCGCATCACCGAGGACCACCCCCCTAAGTCTCCATCTCAGCGAGCAGGTCCTCGGACGATGGCCCTGCCACCGCCCTGCCCCCCTATCTCTGCCGCGCCTCCGCCACTAGCGCCAGCCCTCGGCGGAGCCCCATCCATGCACACGCCTTGGCTGGCGGCGCCTGGCGTCTCGTGCTGGTGGACGGTGCGACCCCGCCTGCCTGCTCCAGCGACCGCGGGCGCAACGCCGTGGGCGCAGCCCGCCCGAAGGATCGGCGCGCCACCCGGCCTTACCGGCTGCCGCCGGCGCCGAAGCCGCAGCCCCAGAGAGGCGTGCGCGGCCCCTGGAGAGGCCGACCCCCTCGCTCGCCGACTGCCTGCAGGCGGGCGCCACCCAGGCACGCTGGTGGGCCCCCCTCGCCGCCGCCGCCGCCTCCGCCGCTGAAGCGGCCCATTGGCGGAGCGCTGTGCGGCATGCAGCGCCGCCGCTTTCCCTCCCCTCTCTGTCCAACCGGTGCGTCCTGCGTCACTTCATGGCTCTGGTCCTGCAGCTCCTCTCAAAACTCAGGTGTCCGCGCTGCTTCCCGAGGCACCATCCTCACCAGCTCCTCGAGCGGAATCCAGCCACGGCCACGCGCGCTCTCCAAGGTGCCCCAAAAACCCGACTCCGGGCCCGACGTCGGCCACCACCGCGGCAGAGACGACGACCACCACGGCGGCGCCGGCAAGGGCGGTCATGGCAGCAACGACAGCGACGAGGACCACGACGACCAGCACGGCCACGGCGACCACGGTGCCCGGAGGCCTCCGGAGGCTGCCAGAGGCCCCCGGAGGCCTCCACGGGCCCCGGAGGCCTCGACCCGACGACAGCGAC